AGAGGTGATGGTTTATAGGGGTCATTCGGTCATTCCCTCATTCCCGGCTGAGAACTATTAAGATAGGCAGAAAGTGCAAGTATGCCTTCCCTCCTTTTTGATCCTGCAAAAGTGGAAGTTTAATTGGAGCCCACAAGCGAAATGCCACTTTTTGAAAGGAACATCCAGTGACTCTCTTGGTCCTTGTCGCAGCCCGCCGGCAAACTTGAGCAGCGCCCGAACCCAAAATGACCATTTTGGTTAGTGGCTCGATTCCTACTGGTTGGATTTGGAGTTGTTAAGCCCTGAACGCCATATTGTTTTTTGGGCATTCACTTGAAGCAGGCAAACGTCGTGTCAGGCTTTGAGCGTTGGCTTTCGACTTCACTGACCACATGACTGATTCCCTGAGTCTGAGTAAATTAGGTTGATGTTCATCGCCACAACATGAGGTTTCTTTCTGCTGGGATGACGCCCCCATTGAGTAAGTTGCTCACCCTCGCAAGGTAGATCTTTCTGCAGGCGGCTCCCGCAATGATTTGTCAAGGATTTCAGGATCTCCACCTCTTGTCGCATCAATTATCTGAGTGACACGTTCATCCCGTTTTTTGATCCTAGGCCAACAAGCGCTCGCCAAGCCGAAATGTGCTTCGAGGCGGGCGGGAGATTGGGACGGGCCGGTTGAAAGGGGCGTGCCGTTTGTTTGAGGGCGGCCATGGTTGGTTCAAAGGCCAAGGCCGGAAAACCACGGTTTCTGGGTCCGGTATTGAGACATACCTTTGCCCTCACACTCCTCACACCAGTTTTTAGGGTCCCCCAATTTTGAGACATACCCAAAAAGGGCCAAGTAAACCCATTGCTCCCTCCATGGCTTGCTTTGGCTTTACAGTCTGCACATGTGGGAGGGCATTTGGAAGATCGATTTCCTCTTCGGGCTTCTGTCAGGTGTTGCCAGGTTGGGAGGAGGGGTACGCACATAAATTGTAAATATACGCACATCTTAAACAATTCAGCAGCGCCCAGCACCCCTGAAAGGGCCTTTTGGTAGGTGCTACCTGATTCACCAGGTCCTGGTTTCATCAGGTTGTAGTAAAGCGTACCCTCTGCGATGTATTTAGAACCCTCCCGTCTCGGGTTTCGGCCGGGTTAGGCTCATCACCTCGTAAGATAAGTCTTTTTCTCCGCTCCATGGGTTTGAAAGTTGGACACCCAAGATTTGGCTTTTTGGTTTCCCTTTAAAGTTAAGCAAAAGTACCCTCCAAAAAGAAGCATTCTTTTTTCCGCTCAGCCTGAAGGGGCAAGCGAGAGGCAAGCATAGGTGTCCTTTTTGGTTGATTTGATTGAAAAATACAGGGCCCTTTGTGCACATGTAAGCTTCGTGCGTGATTCATTGGGGAATTATGCGGGTGTCGAGCTGTTTGCCCCAAGTCTTGAGCACACCTTCGTAAGGCGCCAATTACTTCCTGTTGCCTCCAGCAGTTGTTCAATTCTCGTTGCCTCAAACGAGCAATGCTCATGACTGACAAAACATGAGATGTTAGCGGCCGAGGAGCGCAAATGCAAGAACCGATTTCTTCCCTCTGCCAAAAGTAGCAACGGACGGGTTGCAGCAAGAATCCTTGAGCCGTTTGCTTTTGCCGGGCTAAAACCGATTCGTGTCATCGGATGGGGGGGGGGCGGGGCGGCACCATAGCTGCTATAGCTCCTCACTCCTGAGTCCCCAGAATACGCGCGAGCCAATCACAAAGCTTGATCAATTGCCACCACTGTGACACCAGGCAAGCAAGCAGGCAGGCAGCCAGGCAGAGCCGCCTTTTGCCAAGCATGACTCCAGCAAACATGTTCCTTGTGGCCCGCTTGCAACTATTTGACAAATGATACGGACGAAGCCATCGGTTTTCGGTTCGAGTGCTTTGATGGTTTTGGCGAGAGGGTAGCCTTTCGAAGACCTATTCCTTCAATCTTGCGCACTGGGGCAGGCGGCTCCCGCTGGACCGTTGTGTACCCAGAGGCTCCAATTCGATTGATTTGCTTCAATCATCCTGGTTTTGAGCCCCCCACCCGCCTCCAAGGTGTGTAATGGAGGGGTCGGGTCTTCCATTGAAAGCCGAAGCCAGGAGCCTCATATGGCACGCCTCGTAGGTGGACGCGGGTGGATTAGGCAACCAACGTAAAGGTGTCTGTTTGGGGAGGCTGGACCCTGAGGTGCACCACTGTCTGGTGGGTTGCTGGGGTCCAGGTTCCATGAGACAAACCCCATTGCACTACTTGGCTGACCCCTTCTCAAGTTGTTTCGGGTTTGCATCTATCTTCAAAACCGATTCTTATTCCGGGCCCTCAATTGCCGGAGTCCACTCATGTACCCCCCACTAATAGAAAGGTTCCTCTTTCTTCTTTTTTTTTGGGGTGGGGTGGGGTGGGTGAGAAGATCTTTCTTGAGCCCAACCAAAAGCAGAGCCCTGATAAATTTGTTTGCCCGAAAAAATCGGGGAGCCTATATATATATATATACACTTCTCTTTTGGGGGGGGCCCGCAGGACCCCGCGTGGCCTTTCGGATCGGTGGAGAGTCACTCAGGCAGAGCTCCCGTGGCTTCAAGCCCGACGACTCCCCAGGCGCGTGGCTCGGGTTGGTGGACCCACGCGGGCCACCTGGCGTTTTTATTTATTTATTTATTTTTTTTGTGGGTGACGACGGATTTCCATCTTGAATTTGGGTACCCAACATGGTGGGTTCCAGCTTGGACCGAGGGGTAGTTGGAGAGAAGATGGGTTCCACTGGTTTAGATTGCTTCCTTTCCATTAACAAGGAAAATCCATCTCTTTTGGCAAAAGGACACCTGTGGTCGGACCCCAACAAATGCCTTCGGTTCTCGCCTTTGGTTTCCCTTGAAAGCAACCAAAAAAACCATACACTCGGGTTCCCGGGCTCGATTTCTGGCTGGTTTCCAGCAGGCAAAATCAAAGGCATTGGTTCGCAGCAAATGTGATGTTCCGCTTGAAATGCGGAGACCCTTGTGTTCTGGGCAGGTGGTTTGGGGGAAAGCTGGGGTCTCAATGGAGTTGTTTTGCGACTTGTTTGTTGCATTATCGGAAAGCCCAACATATCAGGTAATACATGTAAACTGTAGACTGTAAACAAAGGGCGGTCATATCCTAAGGGCTGGTTAGGTTTCTCTATTATTTCATTGTCTCGTGCTTGCCTTAGCATTGTAGTTGTAATTTCTGATATGTCCTGGAGTCCATATTTGTCTTATCTGAACCTTTCACTCGCATATCTGTTTCCCATGGTTTCTGAACAGTGGTGCGGGTGCGAAGGTATTTCTGAACAGTGGTTTCTTGGACAGTTTCTGAACAGTGGTGCTTTTCCATCCACAGCAAAAAGACAACAAAACAAAAACGGTGATCCTCTGTCCAACGTTTGCACTCGCTCGTTTTTCACTCGCGCGAAGCGCTTATGGCTTTCGAGAGAGGCGGCTCCAGCCCGGCGAGTGCCAGAAGCGCCTCCAGCCCGGCGAGCGCCATGCTGCCCAAGCGCGCAGGCGGGGGCGGGAAGGCGGAGGGGGCGGAGAGGCACGGTAGGTTTGGGGCTGGTGTCGTTCGATTTGTTGAGGGTACCGAACTTTTTCTTGTGGCTTTCAAAGGAAGGCTTTCAAAGGAAATCTCTCAGGGCCTTGGGAAGCCCTTTTTGTTGTATCACAGAAGTGGTCAAATCCCACAACCCTGTTCCTCTCGGTCAGGCGCGAGCGCCGCACTGCGCGATACCGGCAAAGCTCTGGCGCGGAAGTGACCCGAGAAAAAGGAAAAGAAAAGCGGCGAGTGCTGCGCGAGCTCCGGGGATGGGATCCCGATGGTTGGTCTGCGAGGAGTCCATTTCTTCAGGGTGCCTTGGAGTTGGTTGGCTGGGTCCCCCAGTGCCCTTTTACTCTTTTTTGGGGGAGGGTTCGGGACCCTACTAAAATAGACTACAGAATTCTGGTACCCTTATTCTAACCTTTCTACCGGAGGACCTAGTTGGGAAACCATCAGGAATGCCCTTTTTAGGGTTCCCCCCTATTGAATGACAAACCCGTGTGGCGGTGTCCCAAAATTGACGACCTCTTTTGGATGGCGAACGAACACTTTTCCAACCAAACCCTACCGTGTATTTTCTTCGGATCTCCGCTTCGCTTTGTAAATAGTATTAATCTGCTTGGATGGAGCACTGCAACAGCAACCCTTTGCCGGCAAAGGCCATTTTGTTGGCGGCGCGGTTGAAACAGGTTCAACAAGTGCTTAGTAACAATTTAGGGCATCCCCGCCAGCCTGTAACCGTACTACGACACATGAGAGACCCGAACCCGTTAACTGTTGGTTCTACAAGGCTGAAGAACCAGACGCTGGAGATTCGAATGCAAAGCCCACATCCCTCCATTGGACTCCCCAGGGTTTGAGGTTCTCAAAACCTGGCGTTTGGGGGCCCGTTTTATGTAGATCCAATCGGAGGCGTTTGGGTAAACTTATGTTCCTATAGGATCATGGGTGGACATTATCTACGTGTATTTTGGTCCACCGACCACTCTACCGCTTTTGAATCCAGACCGTTTTCCTTCAAGTATTCCTGACAGGATTCCTGAAAGCCGTTTTCAAGCCAGCTGCGGCAATCAGGGAAGCAAACCGTGATTTGGCTTGGACGCCGCTTTGGGTATTCCTGTTACTCTTTCAACTTCAATGTCAGAAAGTCAACTGGTTCGGACGCGTGAGGCTTGAAAATCCATGGGAGGCCCGGGCCCGAAAGGGCAACCCAGGGGGCCCAGGCCTTTCTTCTGCCAGTGTTGGCGGTATGTCAAGGTTCGAAAAGGCGATCCTCGTTGAGGCAGCGAACAAAGAACTACCGCCTGTATCCCATACGCACTCTTTCTAGGGCATGATGCTACCCCTGGCTAAAAATGCCTTGAAAAGCCAGCTGCTTCAAACTATCCCAACAAAAGAGGCGGGGTATTTGGAGTAGGTATTCGTGGCATCCCAACATCCGACTCGGCTTGCGGCTCGGTGAATGCCTCCGACGACGTTTCTGGCTCACCTGGGGTTGTCGCGGAAGCTGCGAGTGATGTGGCCGCAAAGGGATCGATGTGTCAGGGCTGGGATGCATTTTTGGCTTGAACGTTACCCAGCCTCCGGCTTTTGGTTTGGTTGTTTAAAGCTTGGGAATCCACATCGTTTCTTTGGGGAAACCCAGAGGAGGTTACAAATGTTTCCACAGATAGCAAGACATTGGACCCATTTTTGTGTTCAGATCCAGCAAGGTTCCGTGGCACCTGGGATTGGTGGTTTGTCCTATTCGGGTTAACTGGTGCGAAGCGGATTTTGTCCATGAGGGAAAAAGAAGAAGTCCAGGACTCAGCCCCATTTTCGTATGTGGTTCAAGCCCTCATGTGACCAAGCCGTCCTCAAGTGGGCGTTTCACAGTTTTTTTTCATACCGGAGTCACTCGATTTCAAAGATGCTCTTCAGGGGCACCGCGCGCTTTGACGGCTCGCATGCGTGTCTCAAATTCTCAGCAGAGTTTGGGATTTGTTTTTTTCCCCCCCCCCCCCCCCACATGTCCGTCTCATTTTTCATGCTGGCCCCGATGATCGGGGCCGCAAGGGAGCTGTTCCACATCTATGGTCTTCTATTTTTTGCCTTCAAGTTTTAATTATTCTAGGGGTTGCTTCCCCATTCTTTCCAACCAACCTTCTATTCAAGAACCGGAGCTGTTTTCCCTGGGTTTCCAGGTTGGTGTGGCATTTCAGCGTGGGGCCCAAACTTCCAACTGAAAGGCGGGGCCAGAACTCGGGGGCCAGCGAGCCGTTCCCTCTCCTATCTGCTGTCCAACGTCACGGAACCCGCTCCGATCGGCTTCCCGGGAGGTTTTGTCCCAGAACTTTCATCCAGAAGAGATCTCGGCCGGGCAAAAAGGCGTGTCCATGAAAGGAATTTTCCCAGAATTGTCCCAGAGTCATCTTCGCTGTTCCATACGCAGCGCCGACGCCTAGTGTTCTTGAGACAAGCACGATCGTTTGCCGTTGTTCTTGAGAGGATCGCGTTCTTGGGATCGCGTTCTTCGCTGTGTTTCGTTGTGTTTCCCGTTTGGCTTTTCGGAGCTTCGTCTCAACACCTGGGGTCCTTTCGCCGATCTGAGGCACACGGCAAGGACCCGCTCAGCCGCTCAGCGGCTTGACTCAGAAGTTCTCGCGTGTTGAGTGGGATGCACCGCAGTCCATATGCCAGAATCCAAGGTGCTTCGATATGGTGCCACTGGCCATGGTGTTTTTTTTGCTGTTTGGGCTGTTTTCCGCTGGCTTGGGTGTCCAAGTGTCCAGCACCGGACACCAAGTGTTTTTTTTCTCCACCTGAGTGTACAGTTTCCAAGAGTCGTTGTTCGAAGTTGGCAAAATCCTTGCTTTGCCTTGCGCAAGGAGGTGGCCTGTGGGGAGAATGAAACCAGAATTCCAGAGTATTGGAAACAGGGTTGTCCATTGTTCCTGCGATCAATTCCCCCCCTTGTCCCGAAGCGGAACCACAAGCACCGGAAATTTTGAGAACCTTCACTCTTCTTGGCATCTGTTTTGCTATTTTCTTTGGTCCTCTTCATCTTTGGTGCGTTGCAAGAAGCATGCTTCTTGCTTACTTTCTTTTGTCGCATTTTGCGTGGATGTTAGTTAGGACTTTAACTTTTTGCCAACTACTGGGTTTTCCGTATCAAACCACTAAAAGTTGAACTTTTTGTGAAGGGAAGCAGATGCAACCGAGTTACCAAGGATTGGAAATGTCCCATGCTCTCTTGAAAGGAAATAACTACCCTCCAGTCCAGCAGCCAACAAAAATCCTTGAGAATGGTCCAAGCCAATTGGGGTTCCGCAGGGCTGTGGTGGTCAAAACCGTGAAACGGGATCCCATTTTTGGTTGGATTGGGTGAATTCACCAACCATTTTGGAACCTATTTTAGTGGTTGGATTGAATCGGATGTTCACTTTGGATTTTGACCCATGGCCATGACTCAAAACGGCGTTTCGTTCAAGACGAGAACAGGGGTGCTCTGAAATACAACAAACCCGTATAGACGGGAAGACAGGAAGTTGTATGCGATGTTCCCAATGCATTTGCAACAGGTGAGCCAGTTTCAATTCTGAGGCTCCTTGGCACTTCTGTAAGCAGTTCGATCGTGTCCGGCTCAAAACGATGGGCGGAACGGGGACCGCCACCTGCAGGCTATGGCCAACTACCGCAGCACCTTCATCGGCACGGAGCCGGAGGAGCCGGGCCCGCTGCCCCGCTCCAGGCTGGGCCCGCAGGGGCTGCAGGCGCTGGATCGGAGCTCGGCTCAGGGCGTCCGAGCCATTTGTTTTTCTTCTCCGGGCCTCCGACATGGGCAACGTGGACAGCACCCGTCAATCCCTGTGGCTTCCTGGGGAAGTTACTAAGTTACTGCCCCGGGGGTTTGGTGAGCAGCAACGAAGGTTGGTGCGGTTTTCCGAAAGTTTGAAACGCGTGGGAGCATTCGGAACAGCGGATGGCTTTTGGGTCGCGTACTTTTTTAGGAGTGAGCCGTAGGGATTGCTATGAAACCCTTCATGGCAATTTAGACAACCATTACTTGGATGACGACCCACTGAGCTGAGCGGTTGACATCCCTGGTTGTAAACACCAGTTACTGGACTTTTGCACTGGGGGTACTGATCATAGTTGACGTTGTTTGACCAAATAGGGTCCTACAGACAGACAAACTGCGCTTTTGTTTCAATTCGGATCGGGTTATCAAGCATTCTTCCCAACTGGTGCCTCCTGTGAATGTTTAAGCAACAACTTTGCCATTGTCAAGCTTCCTGTGTCATGGTCGTGGGTCCAAATGGGTGTTTCTCGAATCAGGGCTCCCCCTTGAGGGATAGGATATTATTCTGTTTAAAGGCGAGAACAAAGGACATCAGCGTCCAAGTTCGGTCAAACGACGCCGTCAACCAGTGTTCGATGATTGGATCTCGAGGGTCCGCGATGGGTATATTTTTCTCTGTGATTCCCTTCCATTTGCTTTAGAATGTATTCAAGGGAATCTATCACCTACTGGAAATATGTTTTTATTTTCCAGGGGACTTCAGGAAATTAAGGATCCTGGTAGGCTGTGGATTCCTTTTTCCCATTCCTGGGCTGATTCCTTCTCATGTCCCAACTCAAGTTGGATCGCGGTATTTGTTGAATTCTGAGGCCCCCTTCAGGGCGCAACTTCTCCCCTGGCACCCTCCCTCGAACGTGGAGCCTGACTTGAAGTCTCTTCGATTTTGTCGGCTCTTCCCCAGGGGCCTTGAAGGTTGCGGGCGATGTTCACACTGCGCTTCGGGCTTCGGGTCCGGCAGGAAAGATCTTCCTTGCTACGAGTCAGGTGAGTCAAGTACCTGAAGAGGGATGACATGGGTAGGGGTTTTGTTGCGAGGGGTACGTCCCTTGAACCGAGGACACCCATTTTTTCTGCGCGGATTTTTCCGGGCCCCAAGCTGTCGGGACGGAAGGCGCTGTGGGGTTTGGATCTACCGGCAGGTTGAAACCTATCGAAGCCCAAACAAAAGGGGGTGTCATTGGCATAATCCTCTTGATCGGTGAGCTTGGTTAATCGACGGGTTCCGCTGGTGTAGATGGGGCTTATCAACCATTTACCAGGGAAATCCATTCTTGTTTCCAAAGGGCCACCTATGGTCGTTGGATTTCGTCCAAGCCAGAGCCCCTTCAACTGGATGGCCAGACAAAAGGTCAAAGCTGATCTAATTCCTATCAAGCCTCTTAGACTCGTATACCCGCGTATACCGGAAGCCCTGGATTCAAGGGTGCCCTTATCGTTTTGGAAAATGTGATGTCTAGAAAACTGAGTCGGGGTTCTTCGATTTCGTGACAACTTTTGGTGACAAGGAACATGGACTGATTGGTGTCACCGCGAAATTTGTGTACATTCGCGGCACTTTTTGGTATCCCCTTAAAAAGGCGGCACAAGAAGGCACAGGAGCCGCATTTTGGAACGCCCCCCCTTCTCATGCGACAAATGGGCCCAAATGCTGGTTGTCATTTAGGCTTCCCGTTAAGCCACTCTAGAAATCTTTGCCGCAGCTGGTTACTGGTGTAAACCGAACAACTTCCTGGAGGGTCAGACTGATGGACAAGCTCCTGCGCCAGTTTCTGTGAGTAGTGGGTTAGGCTGGAGGATTCTTTGTCCATCAGTACCTCCCTTCCATCGCGCACCAAAGACGGGTTTTCTTGCTGGTGCGATAGCTAGGGAATGAGAAATGGAATGAGGATTCCCTTAAAGGAAGCCACCAGTTGGATGGTTTGCAGGAGTCATTCCATTTCTCATTCCATTTCTCTTAGGAATGTAGGAATGAGCGCAGGGGTCCCCTCAAGGGAAACCACCTGCCTGTCGCAGAAGCAAGTTGTGCCTCGACAGGAGCGCGCCCTGCCTGGGCTACGCAATGCCGGAAGCATCCGATGCGAAGCTCCAGGAGGAGACGCTGGCCGAATACGCCTGGACGCCCAGCGGGAGAGAGCCGCATAGACGCCCGCGATGGTGGCGAAATGGCGAACTCCATTTCAATACCACCCAACTTTGGACACCCATTGGGCACTCAAAAGCACGGCCTTCCGATTTTCCAACAGGCACTTACGGCGCTTTGTTTGCGGCAAAGTGCCCCATTTTGCCAAGGGATGTTAGGACTTTAACTTTTGCCAACTACTGGGTTTTCTGTATTAAACCACTAAAAGTGAAACTTTGAGCGGGGGAGCAGAAAGCAACCCAGCTAAGATATCATGGAAGGATTCGATTCCCCTGTAAATGTCCACAAACAACGGTTTCAACCATGGCTTCAAGGTGGTGCGAAATGGATTTCGCCCATCCACGCTAGTGTTGCCAATTGTTGGTTTGCGGGAAAGAAACTCAACGACCCATAAAAGGCGGGTCTGGGATGAGATCTTTGAGCCAGGAGCACCTGCCAAGAGGAACTCGCGGAGTAAATTCGGGATGGCTTAGCTGGCCATCAAAGTCATGGCTTCACAGAGGTGCGTCTTTATTGTGGCTGTGAAGGCAAACCATAAGTAAAGCCGCATCTGCTGGGGGTCCCAAAAGAAAGCAAGACACACACACACACACCTTCATCCGTTTCTGTGGACGGTTACCAAATCACCCTGCAATAACCAAACCGCATTTCATCCCACCGGTGCCTGGATCGCGAGGATTTTGTAACCATCAGTGGAGGGAGGAATGTGTGCCGTAGAGGTCTTTTTTTTGAGCCATGACTCACAAGCGGATTTTGACTACTGATTAACACAATCCACACCTGCCTCGGATGGTTTTCACTTCCCTGATATTCTTGCACCAGGCAAAGAACAGGTATCACGTATTCCATACATCGTGTTTCCCCCAGGCACTATGGGCACAAACCCCAAACGTTTGTTGCGGAACCGGCGTGTTGTTTGGAATCACACTAGCTATTTTCTTTTCGGATCTACTCATTTTGGACTCCCCAAACAAGTGAGTGAGCAAGTGGTGATTCCAAACAGAAAGAAGCAGCTTGGTTCCATCCGGCTCCTCTTTTTTCAAGCAGGCTTCCTCGAGGGCCGAGGGCGTCTCGCTGGAACCAGTGAGTTACCATGTTTTGAATACCATGACGAGTCCGTGTTGATGCTTGGTTCCTTTTTCCTCTGTGCATGTGTTTGGGAGACCCCTTGTCAATTTATAGGAGCCGCTGGAGAATTTGCGGTTTCTCAACCGAAATGGCGATATTGGTTGCAGAGGGACATCACGGGTACATTCCATTCTCCACCCCACCCCACCCCACCCCACCCCACCCCACCCCACCCCACCGCACCTCACCCCGGTTTGGAGGCCTTTGCCCTTGGCTTGACCAGTCCCCTACAATCTCTCAGTTCGTTTCCTCGCTCGGCAAAAGAAAAAAGCAGAAAACACGCGGCAGGTGCAGCAACTGTCTGATCGGTCGCAGGCGGGAGTGGTTTTGCACGCAAGCGTTGAAGGGTTGAACCAGTTGAGCCACAATCAAAACCCGGGTAGATGAAGGTTAGTGAGGGACAATCCCAACCATAAATAGCTGCGGCCGCCTTCTTAATTCTTTACGTGGGGGCTTTGGGTAGACCATTTTAATACATTTTAATACCGGGTTTTGATTATGACTCAGTTGAACAATTTTTTGCACGTTTTGCTGGCCGGGTCCTTCACCCTTTCAGAACATGACAAACCTTGTCTTTTTTGTTGCATTTTGCTTGGATGTTGGGACTTTAACGTTTTGCCAACTAATGGGTTTTCCATGAAGCCACTAAAACTTAAACGTGTAGCAGGGAGCAGAAAGCAACATTTCCTTTTCCACGGTCTGTGTACTCAGGTCAGAGTTTTTTGCTTCGGGAACTGTGTCAAATGAATGAGCCAAATACGCTTCATTGAGCAATCTGAATCGGTGCTTGAACACTGCCAACATCAAGAAGCAGCGCCAGCAACAATAAGAAGACAGTAACAATATAGGAATGCAAAGAAGACCATGCAGCATCAGAAACAAGCCCACCACCACCACCACCACCACCACCACCACCACCACCAGCAGCAGCAGCAGCGGCAGCAGCAGCAGCAGCAGCAGCAGCAGCACCAGCAGCAGCAGCAGCAGCAGCAGCAGCAGCACCAGCACCAGCACCAGCACCAGCACCACCAGCACTACCAGCACTACCAGCACTACCAGCACTACCAGCACTACCAGCACTACCACCCCCCCCACACCCCCCACCACCCCCCACCACCCCCACCACCCCCACCACCCCCACCACCCCCACCACCCCCACACCCCCCACCACCCCCACCACCCCCACCACCCCCACCACCCCCACCACCCCCACACCCCCCACCACCCCCACCACCCCCACCACCCCCACACCCCCCACCACCCCCACCACCCCCACCACCCCCACCACCTCCACACCCCCCACCACCCCCACCACCCCCACCACCCCCACACCCCCCACCACCCCCACCACCCCCACCACCCCCACCACCTCCACACCCCCCACCACCCCCACCACCCCCACCACCCCCACCACCAGACACAACACCCTTTCTTTGTGGGAGTTCTGAGTGTTCTGCCTAGGCGAAACTCTCTTCACTCAAAAAGCCATCTCGGCGTAGAAGCAATCAGCAAACAAATGGAGTCCTGTCAGGCGTTGCAGCCACTGGCGAATCCTCCCGAGCTCATCGAGCCCGAGGTTTGGGTGGCCCCCCCCCCCAAAAAAAATGCTCTTTTTGGCTTTCCCATCGGCCTTTGCAACGTCAAAATGGACAGGCCCATATTGCAAGTAAGAGGAAACCCTTAGTTTATTACAAGTTGTGTGGTTGAGTATGGCTGGTTTAGCTTCAAAAGTCTATGTTTGTCTTTCCACATGTCCAGCGCCGTGTCAAATTTTCCTAGAACAACGGCTGCAGAATCCAACACATTGTTTGTCGCACAGCATGGCAGCCTCACCCAGAAGTTGTCAACATCACAACCACTATTGGCGTTATTGTTCATGACTGTATTTGTAGTGGATGGACAAAGTTCCAGCACCATATGGTAAGTGGTTTGTCGCAGCTTCACTGTTCTTGGCATCTTGCTTAGTTTTGTAGAGTTTTAAGTTTTGCTCCTGTTCATGTTCATTTTAAGTGGGTGGCTGCAACAACAAAGTGTTTTGCCGGGATTGGACAGATTCTGCATTTTTGTTAACGGTACGCCCCCCCCCCTTGCGCCCCCGCGTCTCTCGGGATTTTTCATTTGTTTGGCCAAACATGGGCACCAAAAAAACGGGTGTGCCATAATTATTTCTACCTGTATTTTTTTTTACCACTGTCGTGCAGTTTCCCTAATACCCGGTATTAAGGAGTCGGGATCCAAGATCCAAGATCCAAGATCCAAGATTGCTGGTGGACTTTTGAGGGACATCTTGAATCCATGAATGCCCCCCCGATCTTAAGGCTTCTTAGTACTGTCATGTACATCTCTTTATGCCCGGTTTTAAGGTTTTAGAGGGGCATTGCTGGATCCAAGATTTCCTTCAAACGTCCCCCAGCAATCTTGGATCTTGGATCCAGATTCCTGCCTGCCCGGTAGTAAGGAATCTACATGACCGTACTAAGAACCTTAATACCGGTATTGAGGTTTCAGGGGGTGGCGTTCATGGATCCAAGATGTCCAGATCTTGGGTCCAGATGCCTTAGTGCCGGGTATTGGGGAAACTGCATGACAGTACTAGTACTACGAAGCCTTTCTACTGGTATTAAGGTTTGAGCTGGAAAAAAACATGGATCCAAGATTGCTTAGGGTAACTCATGGATCCAAAGGTTCCAAAGTATCCGGGCAACCTTGGATCTTGGATCTTGGATCCAGATTCCCCTAACACCGGGTCTATATCACAGCACTAAGAGGGGGGGCCATTCATAGATCCAAGATTTCCTTTAAAAGTTCCCCAGCACTCTTGGATCTTGGATCTTGCGATCCAAGGTTTCCCTCAAAAGTCCTGCAGCAATCTTGGATCTTGGATCCAGATTCCTCAGTACAGGTATTAAGAAATCTGAGTACCAGTACGAAGAAACCTGAATGCCGGCACCAGGATTTGAGGAGGAGACATTCAAATAGCAGACTCGCCCCAAAAGTCCTGAAGAAGTTCCGCATTTTGGATCTGAGTACTGTATTGAGAAGCTTAAATTTAGCAGTCATAATTTCAGGGGGCAAGTTGGCAAACATGTTTCACAACAACTTGCATGCGCTTCAATGTTGAATATCCTTCATTTTCTGGACATTGCTTTTTGGCAGTTGTGATAGTTGTGATTCTTGAATCTTGGCAAGAGGACAGTTTCTCTTTTTGTTCCAGCGATATTCACATTTCCCCTTTTTTTTCTGGGGTCGGGCGTGCCTACATCTTGCTTGGAACGTTTGTTTTCTCTTATTGTTACAATGGACTTGCGTTCGGTCCACCGACTCTATGGCCTTTTTCTGGAGTCAGGATGTTGGAGAACACTTTCCTGGGCAATTGTGAATCTTTAATCCAGAACGTATGCATTTCTTGTGTGCAAGAGGTACCATTGGTTGGCCCAGCGAGACTTTGCTCAGAACGCTTGCTCGGAAAAACCTGCTCAGAGAACTTGCGCAGAGAAACTGATGGAAGAAGAGGCGACTGTCCACTCGGACCACGGACATGTCACGCGTGGTGCTTCGTAGGTTGGTCTTCATAAGGCCCGGGTGGCATGTGTTGTTTTTTTAGAGAACAGCAATTTTCTGGGCTTTCTCTATCAGACAGGCCAAGTACATCGAAGTAGACAGGAGAAATGCAGTGTCTGAGCCAACCAACGTTGGGCAATATGCGAGATCTTTCCGAGGTTGGTGTGTCTTCCTCAGGGTACCCATTTTGGAGTGGTCTGGAAGGGACACCAAAAGGAAACTCACCAGTGGGCCCATGGCCCCCCGATTTTCAGACGCACCCACTTTTACCGCAGAGGATGGCACATAGTCCACTTCGCACTTCTCGGACTCCCACGGATGTTTGCAGATCCGCTTCGGTTTCACGGCTTTTTTTAAGGCAGATCCGCTTTGGAACTGGGGGGGGCGAGGTCCGGAGAGTCGTTTTCTCCGTTTCTTCCATTTGGATTGGCATGAATTCAATGGACTTGGCCCAACACCCCAGGTCCCACAGGACACCCTGCCGGCCACCGGCCACGAGATGCCCGCGTCCAAGGCAAGGCGGTTGGGCTTTGTCGCCTTTTCTTTGGGAGGGCTCTTTTGTTTTTGTTTGGTTGTTTTTGCAGCTGTTTTTTTTTCTGGTTTGTTTTTGTTGTTGTTTTTTTGTTTTATTTTTGGGGGGGGGGCTCCGACTTTTCTGGGAGATACACATTCCATTCGCTGAAATGAATGGATTCTTTTTTCCCCTGGTGTTTTTCGGGAATCCATCACTACTGGGCATATTTTTTATTTTATCCAGTGGGCTTCAGCAAATGGAAGTACAGTTTCCCAGCTTTCCAGCGGGCGGGGTCTCCCAAGAGTTTGGGGTCCCGTGGACTTTCGCGCTGAGTACCAAGAGTGCGCGTTGAGAAGTCGGAGCTGCGAGGTGAACTGGTCCCAGTTTGCTGAATTTTTCTCGTAGGGCTGTGTTTGTGGGGTTGGCGTGATTTGGGGGGTGAGTGGGTGGTTTGGGGTGCAAGGGCGCATGCTTTTTGAAGCAACCCATGTCCTTTTTACCACTGTGATTGTTTTGTTATGACGTGTCTTGAACAAACGAGCAACTTGGCTATGTAGGTGGTTTCCCTTTGCTTGTGCCCTTTTTCTCACGGTAGAAATCTGAATGTTTGACCACAGATTCCCATGTCTTGAGGCCGAATTGGACGAACGATCCCTTTTGGGTTGGCTTTGGTAGCAAGGAAAACCAACGGCGGATGGATGTGCGAGGGCTCACTTGCAACAGACACATACCATGGTTTCCTGTCGAAGAAAATGCGGAGCCGCACAAGAAAACCAGCGAATCGAAGACTTGTCAACCACTCGGAGCCAAAGGCTTCCATTTGCTTAATAATCATATTTTTCGTTTTCCCCTGTTGGTTTTAAAGGGAATCTATCACTATTTTTTTTTTTCCAGGGGTCTCAAGCAAATGGAAGGGGTGCTCAGGCGGCGAGCGTCGGCAGCAAGGGGCATCCTCACTTCTGCTGCGGCCCTTGCAGGCACTTTTTCCGAGGCGCGGATCGGAGGATCGGAGGAGCGGAGGAGCGGAGGATCGGAGCGCGGATCGGATGGGCGAGGTTTCGATGTGTTTTCTTTATCCGGGTTTTCAATTGGATTCAGCGGATTCGTGGATGGTTTCCATGGGAAGCAGTGGACTCGTGGATGTCAAATTGGAAGCAGCGGATTCGTGGATGGACAAAAGTCCACTTCGCAAAGCTGCTTCGTTGCAGTGCGTTCAGCTTGCGGGTTCATCCATCCCCACGTGGGCTCCCATGAGCTGGAAAACACATTTTGAGCCCAGAGATGCTTTCTGAAAAGAAGGATCCTTAGAAAGACTGGGGAAGCTTTTTCTGGAGCATCAAGCTCAACTGCAACTTGTCTGTTCCTTCTGCTACATGGTCCTGCGCTTGCGCCAATTGGACTCCATTTACAGCCCGCTAGACGCGGGCCCATTGATGTGTGCCCGCTTTTCCCAGCAGGCAGTGGTTGGGCTGGAGGTATCCTTCAAGGTCGGCGCCTCTTTCGGCAGGAGCCCCATGATGTTCTGCAGGTGCCATCCCTACCCCTTGTCCATAGAGAGGCCCTTTTTCACATCCTGACCACCTGGGATGGGTCGGACTGGCGGTATCTTGTTTTGAAGCTACCCTCTTCCCTGCATTTCCTTGAGGCTCAGGAACACGTTCAAAGAATTCACCCCCAGTGCCCTAAAACTTCTCCCAGGGTCACAAAAGCGTCCTGCAACGTGGTATCTTGCCAGACATTTCAACCTTTGGGTTGGTTTCAGGCTAAACACAGACAGAAAAAAGAGTTGTCACCCCTATTCCAACCTCACCGGAGGACCTAGCAGGTGAGCATGTCATGGTTATTGGGAACCATTTTTCATTTTTGCTTGTGGTTTGGTGGTTGAACTCCAACCACTTAACCGCTAACATTTCTCAATTTTTTCTCCCCTCCCAATGTCAACCAATGTGTTGTTCCAAGTTTGGGGTCCAAGGACTTGAGCAATGTCGTGGTCGGCTTCTCCATGCTCACAGCAAAATAGCAGTGGCAACCCCGGATGTTTTTAAACCCCTCTCATAAAATCGGGGGTGTCACCTACGGATTCCAACGGCTGCATTGGATGGGGTCAAGCTGCATCAGTGTCGTCTTAGGCTCGGTACCCTGCCCATCCTTCAGACCACGAGGGAAGCAACCGAGTTGCTTTTCTCCGATTTTCTCCACGCCTCCATTTTTCTATCGGTTGATTCCAACCATTCTTTTCAACCATCGCTCTTTTCAATAACCGGATCTGTGTTTCCCCTGGGTTTTTGATGGTTTCCTGAAAAGATTCGGATCCCTGGAAAGAATGGACATGGAAGGTAGCCCTAGATTTTTGTTAAGACCCAGTTCGTGAAAACTGTTTGGACCTTTTTTCACCGACCAACGCGCCAAGTGGACCTGTTGGCACGCAGACCGAAGCCGGTGCGAGCATGTGGCTCGTGCGTTTCAGCCAAATGCACCCTTTTTTTTCAGCTTGATTTAGGGGGGACGCCAACAGGACAACCATGAAAGTTTGCGGGGTTCGCTATTTCACACATTCTGCGGGACACAAATCATGTGGGTTGGATTCGTGATTGGTGGATTTGAACTGCCGAGCCGCCAATCCACCAATCAGAGGGAAGCCGAGCACTGCGCGGGAAATTCTAGGGGTACCTTCCCCATTCTTGCCAGGGAGCACTGCGTGGAAACTTCGGAAACCCAGGGAAAACGGCCAGTTTTTGGAAAGAGCGATGGTTGAAAAGAAGGGAACAGGAATCAAGCCCTAGAGAAATGCCTTGAAACTTCAAACCGACTTGTCAAACAAGAAGTGCCGCGTAGGCGAGTGCAGCTGGGGTGGCGCCTGCAGCCGCTGCCACGTGTGCCAAGAGGAGGCCAAGCTGGACAAACGCCAGCGCCAGCTGGTGGCAAGCATGGTGCCTCGGTTCACAAAGCTCAGCCCACTCAAGACCATTAATCAAAACCTGGATCGCCAGTGGCGTTTTTTTTTCTTCTTCTTTTTCTTTTTCTTCTCCATGCACTCTACCCCGAAAACCAGCAGTGACTGAACAAGGCGATCGCAAATTGGCTATCTAGGAAGGCTCCTTTTTTTGTTGCCAATCCCATGGGAAGTGAGTCATTTTAGCAAGACTCCGGCTCAATTTCAAGGGAGACGAGCCCCCTCCCCGGAACCCAGCCGGGATCCAGCCGGGATTGACGCCCGCAAGCACAACCCAAGCAAGTGAAGTCTAGGAAGTTGCAATCCCAACCATCAAAGAAGAAATCTCCAGGATACTCTCCAGGAAGTTAAATTGGGAAGGTTCTGGGAATCTAGCCTAAGCCGCTTTAAGGGGAATTTAAGCATGTTTAAGGGGCATTTAAGCCTTTTATAACCTAAAATATGCCCAATTTAAGCCCAATTTAAGTCCAATTTATCTTCCTGGAGATTTGCCCACTGGTACGGCAAGATTTCCTGTTCCCGGACAAGCCCTTCCGACATCCCGATTTCCAAGCTTGGATAAGCCTTGGATATGCCCAGTCTAGGCTTGGGCAAGCCCAGTCTAAGCAAATCTAGTTTCCTGTAGAAGTTCCTGTTGAAATATTCTTGAAACCAGAAATTGGGGCGGCCCCCGGTTGAACATATATGTTCAGGAACTGTTTCCAGGTGTTCTTGTTTTGGCTTTTGGTGTTTGCGGCTTTTGACGGCTTTTGTGCTTTGGGCTTTCCACAGCACCAGCAGCAGGAGCAGCAGCAGCTGCTGCGGGGAGTGAACAACAGAACAAATCCTGAACAAATGTGCTGAATTCAGTCTCGACCCCTGCTGGGCAGACACCTTTCGCAGGTGTTTATTTCAGGCTCCGCTTTGTGTGTTGGATTGGTTTGGAGTTTGAACCCGACTTCCTTTTGAAGCCACATGGGGAATTTGCTCCCTAACGTCCCAAACCATCAAAACAAAGCACTTATTCTGGATAAAGTGATTGTTGTTCAGAAGTCTACCGTTGGTTGAGGACATGTGAGGAGGACAACTGAGGACAACCCAATTTCCATATATATATATATACACATATGTATACCCAGGGTCGAGTTTGGTCGGGTCGCCCCACTTTCATCCGGGAATCTGGATGACTTTGGGGTATTTGCACCCCATCCACAGTTGGTTGGTTTGCTTTGGGTTTCGGGAAACATTTCTAGCTGGACCACAGCATTGACCACATTGCCACACTCCAAGGTTTGTTAGCGCACCCCTTTTTTGTCTTTGGGTTTTGGTAGTAAAGGGACCTCCCAGGGACTCAAGGAGTTGATATAGCCCGAGTTCTATCTGGAAAAGATCAGCAACATCGGATCTGGGGGCTCCTCCAATTGCCGATATTTTGTTCAGGTTGGCTGCCTATTGAAACAAAAGGATCAACGGAAATGCTGCGGTGTGTCTCCATTGGATGCCTCTTCTGTCCCCATCGACAAACATGGCGCCCGATCCGTAACATGAAAGATCGATACCAACAAAAAGTGTCTTCTGCTCGGCAACTTGGGCTAAAAGGGTTTGCTTCAAGGCAGCCTTTGAGTCAGGGATTCCAATTTTATGGACTATCACACCCAATCCAATCTTATTTTCCTTGGATTGTCAGGGACAGATCTGTTCGCGGAAGAATCCAAGTCGTTTCGAGGTCCTGGCAGGGTTGGTTTTCAAGCATTTCAGTCGGTTTTTATGGAGGACTCTCAAAACAGATGCCGTTTGTGCTTGTGGGAAATGGTCGTTTTTTTTACAGCAGCAAAGCCATTTGCGTGTGCGGAGTTTTTTGGTCGTGACCCCACAGTGATTGGACAGTGAAACGGCCCCAAAGGAAGCCCCACCATGCGAACTGACACATGTCAGCTCTGAAATCTTCGGCATCTCCGCGCAGTGGCAACGGGAATCCAAGCAAGTCTCTGCGTCGGTCCACAGACGTTTTTTTTTTGTGCGGGGGGCGGGGTTGTTTTGATTAGAACATGTGGTGGGTTTGTCTTTGTTTGAGGGTACCGCCTCTTTTTGTGCTGAGCCTCAATTGGTGGTTTGGATTAGTCGCGCAAACTCCCTAAAGGTTGCACACTCAGTGCTCAGAGACCTAAATTCGTTCGTTTGGATGATAAGTGGTTTGGGATTTGAACCCCAGTTCCTGTTGAAGCCACATGGCCGCTAACGTCCAAACCACCAGAACCGGAAACCGACTTTTGTTGGTTGGTTTTACATGGACACCAAAAGGAAAACCCAACCATTTTGGGGGCCCAACCTTGAAAGGGATGGCCCACCCGCCTCTTGCTAGTGAAACGGTGGGGCGCTCCTTTCTTTTTTAATACACAAGTGTCAGAAAATCCCTTGGACGGCAGCCTTTCACCCATTTATATTTTTTGGGGGGCCGTTTTTTTCCGCCTTTTGTTTTTCGGGCTGTCTGTGAACGTTTGAGCGTTTTTCTTTAGGGGGCCTCCATCAGCTCTTCCTGGCGATGTAACGAATCTTCCCAGGAGCTTAACTCAGGTAGAACCGCTGGGATTTTCCGTATTGGACCCACAAAAAGTGAATTCAACACTTTTCGCAGAGGGGGTCAAGCAGCAGCAATGGAAAGGCAAAACCGGCTTCGGCCACAGAAAAGGGTGAGACTTCCCGTGGAGAGAGACCCCGAAGCGTCGGAGGATCGGGGCATTTGCCTGAAGATGTTGGCTACAGTGATGGAAGCCTACGCCACCAAGTACCGCCGGACAGACGTCCTGGGCTTCGTTCACTTCTTGCGCCGCGATACGATAGGGGTCGCGCCGACTCGCCGACTCGGAACGTCAACGCACATATTTTGCAGGTACATCAGCCAAACGAGAAAAATCGAACTTAGGTAAGATGCGTGTTTGGACGAGGCTATCCTGAAGGCTTGCAACATCAGCCATGAAGTTTTCTGTTAACGGGATCCCATATTTGCCGTCGGCGAATTCCCATGCTTTAGATTTGTAGTTCCGCGTCCAACACACTCATTTGACATTTTGATGAAGGGTTCTACTACCTGGTTTGACTAGTAGGACTTTGTGTGTGTGTCTGTGTCTGTGTCTGTGTCTGTGTCTGTGTCTGTGTCTGTGTCTGTGTCTGTGTCTGTGTCTGTGTCTGTGTCTGTGTCTGTGCGTGAGTGGGTGGGTGGGTGGGTGGGTGTGTGGGTGTACGGGTGTGTGGGTTTGTGTGTGTGTGTGTGTGTGGGTGTGCGCGTGCGTGTTGTGCTTGCGTCCGTGCGTGCGTGCGTGCGTGCGTGTATGTATGTATGTATGTATGTATGTAGGTAGGTAGGTATGTATGTATGTATGTAATGTATGTAAGGTAGGTATGTATGTATGTATGTATGTATGTATGT